GAGAGAGAGAGGGATTGGAGTAGAGAGAAGTTTGCAAGAAGGTGGAGAGGTTGAGGGCGAGGGAGGCGGTGGTGGATTGGGGGTGGGGTGGGGTTGAGGGCGAGGGATGCTGTGGAAGAAGATGAATAGGTTGGGAAGGGTTTGCAACGCTGTGTTGGTGATGGAATTTTTTTATAGGGATTTTGTTGTTGTTTTTGTTTGTTAAGTTTATGCATGTGGGAAATACAAAGCTTTTTATTTTTTTCCAAACCTTTTAATATATATTTTTAAATCCACGTGGAAAATACTTATGGGTCGGAAAATGCCACGTCGGACAATCCGTTAGTCCAGTCAGCACGTTAACTAACACCGTCAAATAATTAGACGGAAGTGGCTATTTCTGGTATTTCGCCAAAAGTGGCTATATTTGGCAAAATCGTCAAAGTTTTGGCTACACAAGTGTATTTGGCCTATAAACAATGACTATAGTTACATCATCGTAAAGTCACACCCAAAGATAGGATAAAACATCATATGAAATAAAGCATCGATGATCATATACAAATTACCTTTTTTCTTTTATTCTTTACTTATTGACATTTAAGTTGTATTTTCTTATTTTATCCTTCCCTTTTTTAATTTTTATTGAATTAGAAGCATTACGTAAGACATCCGTAATAATTTAGCTCTTTATGTAACACGACCTCAATACTCATTACGTAAAGAGACCTTCCATTAGGTAAGGCTTCTGTAATGACATTTTATAACTGTCACGTAAAATGCACATTCATTACGCAAAGATTACGGAACGGTAGTTATTTCTTATGTATCAGTTAAATCGAAAGCATTGCGTAAGGCTTCCGTAATGACTTAGCACTTTACGTAACACCAAGTTAATATTCATTACGTAAAAAGACCTTCCATTACGTAACGGTTACGGAACGACAGTTATTTCTTACGCAATAGTTAAACCAGAGCGTTACGTAAGACTTTCGTAATGACTTAACATTTTACCTAACGCGAGGTTAATACTCATTACGTAAAGACACATTCTATAACGTAAGGCTTTCGTAATGATCTTTTACAACTGTTACGTAAGATTACTATATGTTACCTAACCATTACGTAATACCTATTGTATTTTACGAAATGCGACCTATGAAACCTGCCATAGTAGGTAAAAAAACTCAAGTTAGCGTAGAAAATCCCAATAATAATAATAATGAAAATAGCAAGCCAACGCCGGATGCGTGAATGCATCAATCCTCCCCCTTGGAAAAACCTTGTCCCGAGGTTCAGGCGGCCAACACGATCCGCAACTAGGCAATGGTAGTCATCCAATGCCTTCATTTTGCATTTCTTCTTCTTGTGCCACGGAACGGTGGATAACAAATGATGAAGCTCGCGGACTATAGCATGAATTAAGATGACCACCCTTCCATGCATCACGTCACTATTCACCTCCAACTTCTCAGTCGACTGAAGAGAACCCACTGGAGTGGAGTACCATTATCTAGCATTGTTATTGCATTCATCAGCCGAACACCAACCGGCCCATCACCACCAAAGACTCCACCCTGGCCCCCTTCAAATAGATTCACGCTCTTTCATTCCTTTCCTTTTGAACTCCCACGCACAACTCAAATCTTGAAGGAAGAAATGTTGATGAAGGCCGGGAATGGGAGAGCCACGCAAGGCCAACACGTACCAACAGGATCATGTTTGCGTCATCCCTTAATTAGTTCAAGACCTCCAAGCCCTACTCGTCCGCACACCTTCCGGCCAAAAAACTTGGCCGCCCCCTTTCATCCACGTCCAAGCCATCCCCCATGCAATAACAGTAGCCGATTGCCAAGCGGTCAAACCCCTGAGAAGCTCTGGCTTTGTCCTCCTCAATACCACACGAAAGGTAATATAAACATCACTCCAAATATCCAAATTCAGTTCGTGCCATTCCGCAAACCTCCTAACAACTTCCTTAATTATGTATCCCAACCTTGACATCTTCCTCAAAAGGTTGGTGATGTCCCTGTCGAGCCCTCACTACCAAATAACACCAAACCTTACCTTCCTCCCATTGCCACAAACTCGCACCATATAATCCTCCAGTTGTGCCCTCCGCACAAACCCTCCTTGCCAATCATTGTTAAACACGTAGCCTCGGGCAGAGTTCCACCCCCGCGACACTCTTAGCTCCAAGGGCAGCGTCGACTCTCGTCTTGGAGGGTATGTAATTAATGTCACACTAGGACGGAAGCCGCGCTTCGCAGCGGGTAATAGAGTAATTTGTAATAGACATTCAAGATTAAGGGCTGATAAATCGGTTTGTGATTGTCATGTAAAGTGAACAACACTTCAAGAATTGAATAGAAAATTCATATATTATCTTAACCCCAAATGACAAAAATAATAATAATAATAATCGAACAAATTGTATTTAGTTAGTAGTATAGTACTGTACAAACAATTTCTCTATCGGCGCCATACAATAACCATAGGTGATTAATACTATTCAAACTTTATAAAACTTGAGTAATTGCAAATTGTTCCTCAGAATGCACCCTCTCAAACTTTCAAATTGTACAAGACACATTCTCTAAGCAAAACTAATCAGGACCATCCTGGTGTAAGCACCATCTGCAACAATGGATCCCAACAAGGTCCAGTCTAACCGTACAGAAATCAGTTGATAAGAGCATATTGTCAAAAATGATGGAAAGAGAGACAAAGAGGAAGAGGAGCTCACCATTGCCGGTTTGATTTGACTACCTCTTCCGGTGAGGTTATCAAGAATTGATCCACCTTAACGGTGGATTTTCTGCTAGACACTACACACTGGCGCCAGGAAAAATATATGTTCTGCCAAGTAGCTGTAGATAATTAAAACACTATATAAATGAGTAAGATAAAAGGCCACAATACAGAGTGAGGAATTAAAAAGTTTGTAACGGAGAAACATAATTGAACAACCGCTGAAACCAAAAAAAAAAAAAATGACGAAATTAAGAGAATTCACCATACTCCAAGAATGGAAAGCAGCAGAAATTAGATCAAAGCAAGGAACTGTTCTGCATGCGGGCTTGGAATTTTTAGCTCCAATTGGATAATGGAGAAATTTGCGTATCTGATCCAATCTTGCTTCTCTAATAACAAATCTGTAAATATATGTACTATACATATGCACAATAAACAAAATAATATTCACAGGAGACAAAGATGGGAATGATTACTAGTTTTAGTACCTATGAGGAACAGCAAAACTGAATTTAGCTTAAGAAAAGAATAACCAACCTTGAGAGAGCTTTTAGAGTGCTATTATGCATTTCGACCTTCAGGCTAGGGTTCATTCAAATGAAGAGTGTGATGAGTTGAATTTTTCAGAGGATTTGCCTAATTTGTATAGTGTGCCCCCTCCCTACACCAAATGTCGGATGACCCTCTTGAACAATGTCTTGTTCTAGGTACTGAAATCGCATTGGATTTAAATCTAATCCAGCAATTGAATGCATTGGATAATAGAATTGGTGAAGAAACTGATAAGAAGGTGGAACCTCTCCTAGAAATAAAGCGAATTGCACCGTCAATTGAAGAGCCACCGAGTATGGAGTTGAAGTCACTATCCGAACACCTAAAAAATGCATTCTTGCGGGAAGATTCGAAACTGACGGTGATCATTAATGCAAACCTCACTGCAGAGCAGAAGTCGACCCTCATCCAACTCCCAAGGAAACACGAGAAGACTATAGGTTGGAAGATAAAAGACATTCAAGAAATCAACTCATCCTTTTGCACTCACAAATTTTTTTTTATTTTTTTATGAATAAGTTGTTTTATTCATCAAGGAAGAGGGATTTTTGGTGAAAATCCCCCTAACTGGAACCCAAGTAACAAAAACATTACAGCAGTAAGAAAACAAATGAACAACAGCACAAACCAAAGGAGAGCAAACCATCCTGCTACACTATACTATACTATTGACATCGTCCTCTGTAATAGCAAGCTCTATTGGAGGGAAGCCATTCCTAAGCAGTCGCAATAACCCTTGCAGCTTCCTAAGCAACTGGCTCTCCGTCAGCACCTCCCCAGACATAACTCTTCTGCATCTTTCTCTCCAAATCTCAACCACCACCATCACCCAAAGGAGCCTGCCACGATCAGAGGTAATGCAATTAAGTCGAAAGAGAGACATGGCAATTGCCAACGACCCCTCCCAGTTAGCCCCCACCATGTTCCTTCCTGCAAACACAGCTTGAAGTACGTGCCGAGAGTAAGAACATTCAAAGAAGAGGTGATCCCTTGATTCTGCCACAAAGGAGCATAAAGGGCAGACATTAATCACTGAGTTATTTCACCTCTGCACCTTATCTAGAGTGGAGATTCTATTCAAAATGACTAACCAGACAAGCAGTTTGTCTCTAAGGGTCCCAAACGACTACCATATCAACGAATACCACTGAACTTTCTCATGCTTAACACAAAGTGTGTTAGAAACCCAATTATTGGGTTATTTCGGTATTCGAACTTACTTGTCGTTTTATTTATGTTGGGGACGATTGGACATTATTTGGGGGGGTTTTGGGTGCATTTGAGGATTATTCGGATTCATTGGGTTAAGTTAAGTAGTTGGGGTAGTTAACGGGAATTATTCGGGTTATATATTTGTAATTAGTGGGTAATTGCTTATTAAGCAAATAATAATAAGAATTCCCCAAACCCTAATCTTCTTCCCTCTCCTCCCTCACTCAACAGAACCCTTCTTCCCCAACTTCCCTTCTCCTCGTCGGCCACCCTAGGCCGCCGACTCCTCTTTCTTCTTTCCCCCAAATTCTCGTCCCACTCTCTTCCCCTACCTCAATCCATTCGCAACCTTCCCTTTGCTCAACCCTCGATTCACAAACCCTAGACGCAAGGCGCCTAGATCATCAGGTTTCTTACAGTGGTATCAGAGCCTGATCGGCCCCTGGGTCAGAAGAAAGATGAGTTCATCATATCAGTCCCCAGAGAGAAGGCAGCAGGGCACAATGACCGTGGAGGACATCACGCATGAAGAGGACATCAAGCGGCTGTTGAGGACAATTGTGGATCATCAGATCAGCCTCCATGTTCGCATGGGAGAGGTGAACGAAACTCTCCAAGAGATGGCCAAAAGGAACAGTGACGATATGAGGTCACTGATGGAGCTGATGAAGGCAACCCTAGCGCCTCAAGGGCTGCCCGCACCACCGCAGCAGGCGGGAGAAGCGGCGGCGGGGACCAAGGTGATCGCCGCCACGACCAAGACGCCGGTGGTACCGACCGAGGCGATGACGGCGACCGCGGGGTCGCCGGGGGCGACGGCGGTGCGGCAGCTCGCGGGAGGAGGCGCGCACGGCGGCGGTGAGGGCGCTGATCCTCAGGGAGGCGCCGCGAGGCGTGCGGGCCCAGGGTTGGGCCAGCGTAATCATGGGCTGGGTCTGCTACCGTCTCTGACAGCTCAGGAGATGGCGGCAAGGCACGGGAAGCCCAAGATGCCAGGCTAAGATTCGGTGGAGATGGACTTCGAGCCCATGGATCAAGAAACGGGGCGAGGTCGGACCCAGAGTAATCGTGAGCCGAATGAGAGGCGGGCCGTCTGGGCCCGAAGTGCTGAAGAGATGAGCCTGATTGACCAAGCCCGAGAGTGGGCCGAACCGGAATCTCAGAGGGGCCCAAGACGCGGCGACCGGCCACCGGATCGGTCGAAAACGGGTGATGGTTGGCTGAACCGCGAGGGGCGACCCGGAATCGAGCGGGGCCGACCGGAGGGAGCTGGGCCGGGGCGACATGAATCGGACCGGTTCGGACTCGCCGAACTGAACCGAACCTGGTCGAACCAGGAGAACCGAATCGGTCTGGATGGGGAGGCAACCGGACAGCAGCGGACAGCGGAGTTGAGATGGGCCGGTCGGGTGTCTGGAGGGGGATGGGTGGAGGATCTGATGCGGTGTACCCTCCCCTGGTGACACCCAAAGCTGATAGGCGCCGACCGGACAGGTAGTTAGAGGTGGGTCAAGGATCGGGCATCAAGGATGGGGACTGGAGCGAGGAAGAGGAAGATTGGGGCTTTGATAACCAGACCGGGCGAAGGCCAGAGCAGGGTAGCTACAGAGGTCCACACCGTGGCAGTCACGGCTTTGGCAGGTACGGTGGTTACAACTCTATGTTTGAAGGGGATGATGAGTTGGTGTTTAGAGCTAAACCTCCGACCATTGAGTTCCCAAAATTCAATGGTCAAGAGGATGCAGGGTTGTGGATTTATGCTGCACACAGGTGGTTTAAGAATCACCCCACCCGGGAAGAGATGAAGGCGCAGCTGGCGTCGTTCTACTTTGAGGGCGATGCCCTTCAGTGGTGGGAGTGGATGGAGCAGTCTTATGGAGAGGCCGAGATGCTAATTACCCGGCCGAGATTTAAGGAGGAGTTGCAGTATCAGTTCGGGAAGTCAGAGGGCTGGGCGCCGGAACAGCTGGCCAAGCTGCGCCAGGCAGGCACAGTAGCCGAATTCTGTTCGGAGTTCTTGCGGTTGGGAAACATGTGTAAGGGAATGCCGGAGGAAACATTGGTTGGTTTATGTCTTGCAGGTCTGAAGCTGGAGTTAGCTGCTGCAGTGAAGGTTTTCGAGCCAGGGTCACTGAGGGCGGCATTCCGATTAGCTGGGCGCAAGGAAGAGGAGTTGGCAAGTTGGAAGGTCGTTCGGAGTCAGAAAGGCCCCGGGGGCTACTCCGCGGCAAAAGGAACGCAGGGAGGAGCCGTCGTTCCTCCCGCTGGAGCTGCAGCCACGGCGACAATTGCGGCACCAGCAGCGGAGCGGACCGGGCCGAGGCTACCGCCGCGGGGTTTTGTGAAGCTCACGCTGACAAAAATGGAGCAGAAGCGCCGGGATGGTCGTTGCTTCAACTGCGACGAGAGGTATACCGTAGGTCATCAGTGCGCCAAGGGACATTTGATGCTGCTGGTGGGTAACTTGGAAGATGAGGCAGAGGAGTTAGCCGCAGAGGAGGCTAAGGAGAACCAGGGTCCTAGGGAGCAACCTTGAGAGCAAGGTTGGTCTCGAGCGGGGTGGATTGTTAGAAACCCAATTATAGAGTTATTTCGGTATTCGGACTTATTTGTCGTTTTATTTATGTTGGGGACGATTGGACATTATTTGGGGGGGTTTTGGGTGCATTTGAGGATTATTCGGATTAATTGGGTTAAGTTAAGTAGTTGGGGTAGTTAACGGGAATTATTCGGGTTATATATTTGTAATTAGTGGGTAATTTCTCATTAAGCAAATAATAATAAGAATTCCCCAAACCCTAATCTTCTTCCCTCTCCTCCCTCACTCGACAGAACCCTTCTTCCCCAACTTCCCTTCTCCTCGTCGGCCACCCTAGGCCGCAGACTCCTCTTTCTTCTTTCCCCCAAATTCTCGTCTCACTCTCTTCCCCTACCTCAATCCATTCGCAACCTTCCCTTTGCTCAATTCTTGATTCAAAAACCCTAGACGCAAGGCGCCTAGATCATCAGGTTTCTTACAAAGTGTTTCCCAAAAAATTTTGACTGAGAATTTATCCATCACACAATCATCCCAATACACTCCTGCAGGTCTGATCCTAAGATGCTGAGCTACTTCAGGCCTTATTTTCAGTACCTTTCTCCAGGCCCATGAACAGGGTATGGAAATAGGTATATCCCAGATGGAGGTGTAGGTAAGTTGGTAGTGTCTTACCCAATTCGCCCATAAAGAAGAGGAATTCGAGGATATGGCCCAGAGATGCCTAACTAGACACGCCATGTTCCAGCTTCGAAGGTCCTTAAAACCTAAGTCACCCTCCATCTTAGCTCTAGCTACCACCTACCAGAGAACCTTGGCTCTTTTCCCATCATCCTCTGAACTCCATAAAAAATCAGAGCAGGCCTTTTCAATCAACTTTAGAACTTTGACTGGGAGCTGAATGATCCCCATCCAATACTGAGTGATACTTGAAATGACAGCAGAGATGAGTTGCAACTTACCATCATATGATAACGTTTTCACCTTCCAACCTTCGATTCTTGCAGTTATCTTCTCTACCAAAGCAAGATAGTCTGCATTATTCAATTTTCCAGCAATGAGAGGAATCCCCAGACAAACATAGAAGATACAAACAAACCAGTAATTCAAGGTTTTGTTTTCGTCGTGTGCGTGTGTTGGAGGCGATGCTTTGCCTTAACAAATTAACACACTATATTCCAAGAGGGACGGACTGCCATGCCCATACAACTCTCCCCTAAACACGTACCAAGCCTTTACATCCCAACAAACGAAAGAGTAGAGAAAAAGAAGATCCCTAGGCCAGGAAGCAATTGAAAGTTACCGTGTAGACCATAGGATTATAAGATGTTGTAACTGCCATTTTGCTAATTGAAAGTTACCTTACAAATCATTTTTGTCATCATGATTCATGAGAAAATATATTTTAAAATTATGATATCAGTTTCTTAAGTTAATGAGTTTCTGGCGGGTTCATTGTATATATCGAATGTCCTAGCCTATATATGTTATCGAGAAATCGTACTTGACTTGTTATTTAATTCCATCTTGCATTTTTTTAACGGTAGCAGGTTTTACACATCGCATTATGTAAAATACAATAGGAATTACATAATGGTTGTGTAATGTATGCTTATCTTTATGTACCAGTGGTAAAATGTCATTATGAAAACCTTACGTAATAGACGACCTTTTACTTAATGAATGTTAACCTTGCGTTACGTACGTAAAGTGATAAATCATTACGTAAGTCTTACGTAACGCTTCTATATTACCTATTACATAAAAAATAACGTATCGTTATGCAACACTTAAGTAATGGATGTGTATTTTACGTATCACTTGTAAAGTGTTATTACTTTAGATTAACGTTAGTTAAATGATATAGTTAAATGATATTGTGGGTTTGAGTCCCCCACATGCTTTTTTTATTTTTATTTTTGCACTTATGCATCGACACACGGCCTTTGGTACTGTCGTTTGGGACTTTTGGCCGCTGAACCCTAGCATCAGCCCCATTCCGCCAAGTAAGGATGGGCACGTGGGTGCTTAATCTGCGGATCGATATCAATCAACCCGCAAATAACCCGACTCGCAAGCATTGGGTGATTGATGTGGGTGGATTAAGGATTGATAAATCTACCACCCGCACTAATGTGGGTAGATTGCGGGTCACCCAAACGACCCGCATCCTATTTTCACATGAAAAAATTATTATTCTGACTAATATTATTGGGTATTGTGTTGTGTAATATCCATTAGATATTGAATATTGGAATGTAAGTTTCTCTACACAATTGGTTGATAGAATAGTAAAAAAAATTATGCAAATTTTATATGGATTCACTTGAGATAAAGTGAGAAGTGTTTAAATTGATACAGTCTTACTAATTTACTATCAACTTATTATAAATGTTAGTCCACTTTCTTAATTGTTAGTTGGAGAATTGCTTTTGTGGGTTAACCCATGACCCAACCGTACTCATTCGTCACCCATCCGACCCGAGACGTAGAAGAATGTGGGTAGATTACGGCAGGGGCGACCCATTATATTCGGAGGCCATGTTCGAAAATTAAAAATGTGGCTCTAAAACAAATTAGGGAGGTTCACTCATCCCAAATTACCACTTGGCCCAAAACAAAATCGCTGCAAGCTGACTGGTGGGTTATGTAGCTTCTTTGACAGTAATGTGTGATCTCTTTACATCAGTTCATTTAGTTGACTTTTTAGTTTATTAAAGATAAACATATTCCTGGGTTCCTGACCTACTAAACGCTCAACCATCGCCTTCTCTCCAAACCTTCACATCGGAATCAACAACCGCCAAACCTCCTCCACCTATATTGTTACGCAAAACAATTTTTGGAGGGGTAAGTAGGGAAAGGTGGTAAGTAGGGAAAGGTTGAGTGTTCTTGCTTGGAGAGCAGACTGATGGGTTATTTAGTTTATTTGACAGTAATGTGTGATCACTTAACATGAGTTTATTTGGTTGATCTTCTAGGTTGACTTTTGAGTTTATTAAAGATAAATAGCTATACTTTTTGTTGCTTTTGTTATGATACTCATTTTTGGTATTATCATTTTTCTAATTTGAAATATTTTTGTTGTTAGTTTCCGGTAAATAAAGACTATTCTGATTAGTGTTAACATAGAGAATAGCTTCAATCATACCACTTTTACACAAAATTTATATGTAAGAGCTGAGATCATTGTCGAATTGAACTATTCAAGATATAATGTTGATCTTCAACATATAAAACATGGTTTCTTTTGATGAAATAACCTCATGATTGCATATAAGTTTTTACAATATGATGTTTTGTGAATGTGGTCACTTGCTTCCAGATTTAAAAGTGGGGTTCTAATTACTACAATATAAAAAGTACGAGTGAAAGCGATAATTAGAGCAGATACAAGATGGTTTGATATCCTTCTCTCTGCAAGGAATAATTACATGGTGAGCATATGTTGTTATGGGAATCCGAACTCTTTGTGTTTGTAGTATAGTATGTTGATATATATGCATGTCTAGACCCGATCAATTGGACATCTTCACCCGGAATTTATTAACGGGATTCTTGCTCATCAAAACCGCGTGTCAAGTAAGCCCCCTCCTTAATCCTGATATTTTTCTTAATCTGCACATGCACACCCTCATAGTAAACATGTACAGAATTGTAATTTGGGTGCTTCATTAGTATTGTTTCCATAAGATTGTATTATTTGATGTGGTTGTTCTAGAATTGTGAATCGTGATTGTATCTCCTCTAGGAAATTGTCAAGTTAAGCTATAAAAAGTGGCTAACCTGAGCTTCCTCTTTAATTTAGATGGTAAGAGAGCAATGACCCATGTCTAATCGATTGGGGTTGACAATGTCTGAGAAACGATTTAGCCTTTTTTGGAGTATCACAAGATCCTGATAGTATCTCAACCAAAACAATTTTTT